AAGTAAAAGAAAAATTGTGTAAAAAGGTGATTATGGTAGTATATCACTCACCAAGCGCATCGCATGGTGACTTTATGAGATTTCTGGAAGATATAGTAGAGGAGTTAACAATAAAAGAAGAATGTATAGTAATTGTTGACTTTAATATAGATCTTATGTTAGATTCCTTTTATGCGAAGAAGCTGCAAACGACAATGCTGAGCTTAGGTATGAAACAATACGTTAATAAACCGACAAGAATCTCACAAAAGACAGTCAGACAATCATTGATTTAATTTTCGTTAATAATGATAGTTTAGAAGTACAGGTAGTTTATGAACCTAAAATTACGGATCACGCATGGCTTCAAGTTAAATTTAGTGCTACTAGAAGTGAAAATAACTATAGAGAATTTGATGAGCGTTAGAAGCTTTAAGGAATTTTATGTAAGTGAATTTATCAGGTTAGTGGCAAATAAATTGCGTAACAAACAAGATATGGATGTCAGTATGAGAGCGACAAAGCTAGTTGACAGNATAGTAGAAGCGTTAGATGTAGTGGCGTCGATAAGAAAGTTTAGAATTCCAAAGGTATGGGAAGGGAAATAGTGGTTCTCAGATGAAATAAGAGAAGCAGCTGATAGAAGGAATAAAGCATACAAGAAAGCGATTTATAAAAATAGTGAACAAAATTGGTTGCAATTTAAAACTGAAAGGAATACAGTTGTAAAATTAATTAGAGATAAAGAACGAGAGTATTATGAAAATATGATACATCTCAACAAGGAAAATTCTACGACTATGTGGAAAACCTTGAAAGAAATAATTAAAGGTGAGCCAGTAGGAACAAAGATAGTAGAAAGTATAGATTTTGAAATCTTAGATAATATTGATGAGCCGAATGTAGCCGATAAGTTTAATTTATATTACGTAAAGTAACTATTAATAATATAGTTCAATCTATAAATGTAGATAGGTCCAGCGGTACAAATAAAAAAATTATCTATGTTATCGAGAACAAAGGAAGTATGGAAAGTTTCGAGATAATAGGGGTAGACAAGTTAGAGAAAATTGTTATGAGTTTGCCAAAAAAGAAAGTTACAGATGAGGGCATAACTAGTGATGTAATAAAAGCAGCTTTCTGCGTAATAAAAGAGGAGTTTGCAAATGTAATAAATAGTTCTTTGAGAGTTAGTTGCTGTCCAGAAGGATGGAAAACTTAGACGATAGTGCCGATACCAAAAATAGATAAAGCGAGAAAAGCGAGTGAATACAGACCTATTAATATATTACCAGTATTTGAGAAAATGTTAGAATTAGTAGTAAAAGAACAACTTGAAATGTATCTAGAAAGTAATGCTATTATTACAGAGCATCAGTCGGAGTTCAGAAAACAGTATTCGTACAAAACAGCGATTCAAACTGTCATTGACGAATGGAAACTAGTAGTAAGTGAGGGGCAAATAGTGGGAGTAATTTTCATAGACCTTAAAAGAGCGTTCGAGACAATAGATAGAGAAAGATTATTAGGAAAATTGTATCAGTATAGAATTAGAAGAGTGGTTTTAGAGTGGCTTAAATCGTATCTAAGTAATAGAAAACACAGCAAGTGCGATTTAATCATAAGTCGTCTAGATTACTAAAAACAGAATATGGAGTACCACAGGGATCAGTATTGGGACCTTTGTTATTTATAGTATATATAAACGATATAATCAAAATCTGTCCAGAAAGATGCAGTATAAAAATGTTCGCTGATGACACCTTAATATACGTTAGTGGAGAAAGTAGCACGGATTTAGAGAGTAAAATGAATACAGCATTTAATGTAGTCGAACAGTGGATAAATATAAACAAGCTAAAAATGAATGCGGGAAAAACAAAATTTATGATAGTTAGAAGTATACGAAAAGAATTGAGAGGTAATATTACACTAAAATGCCTGGACGGTATTATGAAATATCTAGGTATAATTATTGATGACAAACTAAGATTTAAAGCTCATTGTGATTATATGCTAAAGAAAATAGGTAAAAAAACGAGTTTCTTAAATAGAATAGGCAACTTTATATCAGCGTACACTAGATGTATTATATACAAGACAATCATAGCGCCGCACTTTGAGTATTGCGCAACGCTATTACTAGATATGGGTGAAACACAACTAAGTCAGTTGCAGATAGCACAAAATCGGGCTATGAGAGTAATATTACAGTGTGATAGGTATACCAAAGTAGAATGTGTGCGGGATGCACTGCAATTTATGTCTATAAAACAAAGGTTGTATTATAATGTTTGTACATTTATTTTTAAGATCTTAAGAAATTTGTTACCATTAAGAAATAGGTTAGAAATAATAGAAAGTGAAAGAGAAACGAGGCAAATTGGAGACATTAAAATAAAATTCAGAAAAACAAAGAGCGCACAAAAAAGTATGT